CAGAGGAGCCGCGCGGCGGACGGCAGGAGGAGCCCCGGGCGCCGCGCCGCGCCCTCGCCGCCCTCCCCCCGGAACCCCCGGCGGAGGCAGCCTGCAGCACGGTAAGGCGGCGGATCTGCTCCGCGGAAAGGCGCCCGGGGCCGTGGCGGCTTCTGCCGGCTCCGCCGCTCCTCTGCGTTCGCTGGGCCGGGCAGCTCGGGCGGCAGCCGAGAGCCCAGGCAGTGGAGCCTGCGGCCCCGGCCCGCACGGGGGGAGGGCGGCAAGGGTCGGGGCGGCGCTGAGGAGCGGGCTGCCCGAGGCTCAGCGGGAGGTGCAGAGCGCGGCGCGCCCGGCTCCCTCCACGGCCATGGCTCAGGCGCCCGCAGCCCCTGTGCAGTCCGCCGGCCCCTTACTCCCGGCGGGCGCTGGAGGAGCCCGCGAGGCGGCGCCGGGCTCTAGGGCTGCAGCCTGCCCTGCGGCGGCCCGCGCGTTGCGGTCGAAGCCCGGAGCTGCCGTGACCCAAACCCCGCGCCTTCCGCACTCCCGCGGCACCCGCTCTCCTGACCGCGGCGTGCACGTTCACCTCTGGGGCCCCGGTCGTGAGTGTGACTCTTTGCACCACGTTCGCGGTCGGCCGGTGTGCTGATGTGTGCTCCTTGGGCTCCGTAGTCATCTTCCTCGCGACTTACAAATTCAGCCTAATATCAGAGCAGCAACGGGGAAGGTGGTGGCACAGAGTGTGCGTGTACGTGTGTGCACACGCAACCAAAGAGCACCCGGCCAACTACCCGGGGGAAGGACGTGTGCGTGTATGTGGAGGGGTCGGCAGGGTGCGCCTCCTGGCCAGGGCTCACCCCTGCTCTGCCCTACCCGGGTCCAGGCGAGGTTCGAAAGTACTAAAAATTCTACTGTGTAGCTCGAAGTTTGGAGATTGACTGTCCTCTCCCGGCGAGGCGTTAGGGCGATTTACGTGCCCCGGTCCGCGCGGGTGGCAGTGTGACGGCCCAGGTAGGTGCTGAGAGCACGCACCTCAGCTCCCCGTCGCTGCCCCCCAACCAGCCTGGCCAGGCCAGGTTTGTAGACTGGCAGTTAACCGTGAGCCTCCGACGCAGCACCAGGGCGTAGGAACGCAGCCGAGCTTTTGCCGGAACCTGCGCACACACTCGGCGTTTGGCCGGCTCTGGGAGGTCGCCCTGCTGCTGGGCAGGAGGAGCCGGGGTGGGGGTGGGGTGGGGGGCAGCGCGAGACTCCGAGCGCGGGGTTTGAGGTGCAGTGTGTGCAGCTGTGCGACCCCGCGCCGGGCGAGATCTGCCCGACCGAGTCTCGGACGATTATATAAGCAGCCTCGGTGATTATCCAGAACTGGGCTACCGACACTCGGTTGTTGAAAGACGAGCCTGAAAGTTTTCCTGCTCAGGGAACGTAAGTACATGGGCGCCTCTACTTCGAAGGTGGAGAGCCGGGGACGCCTGATACCCGGCGCCCACTTCTGATGAGCTGGGCTGCTACTGAGCCTCCAAAAACCAGTGACTGGGGCGGGAACTGAAGGGGCATCCGGGGCTGATCTGAGAGGAGGAGCGGTCAGAATTTAGGTTTCCTGGGGTCCCCAGAGCCCAGCCTCTGCCCCACGGGAGTGCGGGAAGGCCTTTGGGGCAGGAGCGTTTTAGCGAAGTGACTGTTTTAGGGAGCCCCGAAGGTGCCGCCTCCGCTTCCCTGGCGCCCTTCCCCCTCCAGGCGCGGCGCCCCTCGCGCGCTTAGAGACCCGCCCGAGACGCCAGCCTCTCCTGGAGATGCCCGGTGCCCAGGCCCGGTGCAGGGCGGCGGGCGAGGGTTGGAGCCGGCGCCGGTTGGCTTCCACGCGTCCCCTCGCTGCCCCCTCCGCAGAGAGCAGTTTGCTTCTGCTGCGTTCATTTCCCCATCCTCATCCCCTTCTTTCGCCGCAGCAGCCTGTAGCACATTGATGGGCTTTGATAGATCCCCGGTAGGAGACTGTTTTCAAACCTTGTTTTTTGCCTGGAGAGGGACAAGCCAACCCAGCCCCGACTGATCTCTGCGGACGCTCGAGTCTGGGGTTCAGCGGCCCTCAGCACTACCCTCCCCCACCCCCCAGGCCCCTGGCCCCAGTCAAGAGGTGCTGTCTTGTGAGGCTGGCAAGTGTTTTGTTTGTGCCACATTCCCGAGTCTGAAGCACCGCGTCCCCTCCCCCCGAAGCTCCGGCTCTGTCTGAGCGTTGGACGCTGTGAAATGAATCCTTGCCCTCGCAAGCCCGTGTGTGTGTGTGTGTGTGTGTGTGTGTGTGTGTGTGTGTGTGTGGGTCGTTCTGGTTCCAGCAGCTGCCGTGATCCCCAACAATGCTATCGCAAAGCCGAAGTCCCTGGTGCTGGCCGGCCGCCTCGACTCGAAGGTCTATGGGCGGGATGCGGGGGCCCAACGCGAAGGGCGCAGAGAAGGGCGCCCGGAAGGCTGCGTGGTTAGCTCCGGGGCAGGGCGGGAACTCCGGCGCGCGGGGGCCGCAGGCGGGCCGGCGGGCGGACCGGGTTCGGCCGCAACCTGTTTCCCAAGGCTGGGCTAGCAGATACCTGCTTCCGGGCCCTGCGATGGCCCACGTGGCCCTGCTCCCGCTGCAGCTTGCGGCCTCCGGGAACCCAGATCGCGCTCTCCGCCGGCTCGGGCAGCTAGTACGGGTCCCCACGCCTGGGGAGGGGCCGTCCGCTGGGCGGGGCCTGGGCTGGAAACCGAAGCCCGAGAACCTCTACCCCAGGGTACCTTACACCCTTCTTCCCGAGCCCTGGGGTCCCCGCCGTCCTTGACCCTGAGCGCTCCCTGCTGAAGTCTGGGGTGTTGCACAGGTGGTGGCCGTGGGAGCAAGTTTTCTGCGCTCGCGCGTTGGGGAGCAGAGGGGACATTTGCAGGAGGCTAGGCAGACGCAAAAAGGGATTCCCTAGTTCTAAGCGTTAGAGGGAAGATGGGAAGAAATCTTCCTTCTCTGGTGAGGCCAGGAAGGAGCCCTTCTTTCTGGGGGTTTGGACCCGTCGCGGCCCACGGAGCGGAGTGCGCATGCTGTCCGTGGGGCCTGTGCTGTCTCAGTGAAGGGAAAGTTGGGTGCCCAGGCCCCTCAGGCAGGATCTGGGACTCGGCTGTTCTTCCGGTTTTAGGGGACAGGTTCAGGAAGCTTCTGTTCCCAGCCTGTATCATGAGCGGGAAGAATGCGGGCGGCTTGGGGGAAGCTATTGAGGGTGGAGAGGCTGTTTTCTAGAGAGATTGGTCAGAACCTTCAGCTGGCAGGCTCGTTCTTATCAAGGTTTGTCTGGTGGAGATAGAACAGGGCAGAAAGCAAGTAATCTGCCTAATGGGCTTTGGGGGTCAGAACCAGTGCTCAGCCTTAGGAATCACAGGGGTGCAGTTGTACAGTGGGCCCCCACCCAGTAGAGGGTCCAGCAGAGAGGTGGGGGTTAGGTGGGTAGACTCTCCTCCTGTATTCTGATTCTGTTTGGTATGATCTTTTCAATCTTTTGTTGCTGTTGGGGGTAGTAAATTGGTAGAAAGTGATTAGAATTATGGCTAAATGGCCTTAAGCAAGTTAATTTGGGTGCCTCAGTTCTCGCCTTTGTAAAATGGGACACCACCACCTCGATTACAGCACTGCAAGGATTAGTATCTGTTATGTTTTGTGTCTGGATGTCCCCACAGAGCCTTGTGCAGTCACGGGACACTTTACATAGATGACTAAGTCTAGAGTTTGTGGCTGATTCCTGGTCCAGTGTTCGGATTGAGGCTGTGAGTGCTATACCTGACCTAGGGCAGGCAGCCTGCATTCCACATAAGGGACAGAAGGAGGCTTATCCCTCTCCTCTCTTGTTTTTGCTATCTTCCACCACCAAGGACAGTTGTCCCTGTGCCATGTGCCACTCAGCCTTGGAGCCAGCTGATTATGGACTGAAACTTCTTTCAGCTTGAGCTACATAAACCTTTCCTCCTTTAACTTGCACGGTAGACATTTTGCCTCATCAAGGAGAGAAGAGCAGCTAAGAGCATAACACACAACTTGGGGCCACGCACAGTGAATGGCCAGTCCCTTCTACATCTTACACCCCTGCCCAGCATGTGTGTGTGTGTTCAGAGAGGCTGGGCAGGGAGATCGACGGCCCCAGGAGAACCAGCAACATTGCATTCAAAGTCTATTTAAAACGAGCTTCAAGTGCTTGGAGCAAAAATATCCTCTCTTTTCTTAGAAAAGTCATTTCTAGTTTTGTTAGAACGTGTGCTTCATCGGGTCCCTTTTTCTGACAGAATAACTGCCTTGTGCAGATTGGCATGTTATACAACCCAGTATTTTCAGATCAAAAGCTACAACTATGGGAAAGAAGTGGTTAGGAATTAGAGATAAAGACCATCAGTCCCCACAAGCGAGACCCTCAGGAAGACACCAGCTCCCAGTCTTGGACTGCTAAGAGGCCACAGGAAAGTGTGACTCTGCAGAAGCACCGCTGCATACCTGCTGGCCTGTGCGCTCAGAGGCCTGCCCTGCACTAACACAGCTACTGTGCTGGGTGCGGGCCTTCGAGTGTTCCAGCTCCTATACCTTCACCCACATCTATTAATCTTAAAAATGAAACAAAAGAACAATGGGATTTAAATCACCTCCTTGCAGATCTGATTTCAAGGGCCTAGCAGGGTAAATCAACGTCAATTTTAAATCTAAGGGGCCAATTTTTACCTGCCTTCTTACATGGTCCACTGGCCTGGCTCATTGTGGCTGAAAGCTGAATCGCTCTGTCTTTGCTTTATGCTGGCAGGCAGCTGTGGGAGCCGCTTGGAAAGTAACATGGCACAGATCCCAGGGAGCCCCGCAGCCCTGGTCTCTGAACTTTTGCTCCAGAAGGACAGTATCACTGAAGCAGTTTCCTGCTCTTTTGTCTTTAATTACCCAAGTAGTATGTGCTCACTGTAGCAGTTCAGATAATATAGAGAAAAAGCAAAAGCAAAGTAAGTTTTGCAGCAGTTTGGGTTGTATCACAATTTTCCTTTTATGAACTAGAACATGAGGCCATCTCTATTGAATCTAGACTCATGGGTTGTCATTAAAAATGGGACTTGGTTTACCTAGTTTTGTATGGCACTTCGCACATGGGGTAATGATGTATGTCCTTCCTACAAGACTTTAAGGTCCCTGAAGACATGGAAAAAAGAAAAACAAGATCACTGTATTTTAAATGCTTTTTTTAAATGATAAAGCATGCAAAATTCTCTGCACTTTATAAATTTCTCCCCAGTGCCAACACTTTTAATGACTAGGTAGAACCCCAGTGCTTTGATATGGCATACTCCTTTATCCAGTATCAGTTTTGACTTGTTTTATTAGAACAAAACTGCAGTAACCAGCCTTGTATGTTCTCTGAAAAGCTATTTCCTTAAGACAAATTCCTAGAAAGTAGGACTTAAGGATTCAAAGGCACATGTCTGACCTAGGCTCTGTCCCATGTGAAGAGCGAGGGTTAGGTAAACTGTTAGTTCCATCTTTTTAACCAGAACCCAGCTATTAACTCCCCAGTCCGTTGGAGTCTTAGGCCCTGAAGTGGTGGAAAAAGGTAGCAGGAAAACAAACCTTCAGCAGGGATTTGCATAACTCTGGGCGGAGTGGCTGAACTGCCAGGCAGATCCCTTTTCCAAGAACATTTTTCTTCCCTGGCTGTCTTGGAATCATCTCTTTCTGTAGTGCTCCAGCCAGCAATGGAATTGAAATATGTAAATATGTTCCTCAGCCTTGTAGGTGGAGCTGGCTCTGGGATAGATGACAAGCAGTTCCTCCTGCTGGGTGTGTGTGGCTCCCAGCACTTGCACAGGGGGACCCCATCCACCCCCTTTTCTCACTTTCCTCTGATTCAGAGGCCTTAGGCTAGCCCAGGAGGGCTTTGGGAAGAGCCAGCCCCTGCCCATCAACCCCACCAAGTTTCTACATGGTCCCAAAGCACAGTAAATAAATCAGCCGCCTTGTCTACTTGCTGTTTGGAAAGCAGAAGTGGGCAGGACTCTCTTCTTACAGGGCTGGGTTCAAACAGAGGGTGTATTTCTTAGTTTCATTCCTTTACCTGTTAGATTTCTGTGACCCAGATAAGATTTGTTTCTGGCAGTTAGATTCCACCTCTGACAAAGAACTCCATGGAGCTAGAGGGGGAACTGCTCCTCCTTTGTCCAGGGTGTTCCTTGCTCAGCTCAGTGGGAGACATCAGGAATTCCTTTAGATCGGGTGAAGAGGTGTGTGTTGCCATGCAGGGAGCCACCCAGCCCGGCTTCTGGTAACTTCAGAGGAGGTCTAGATGCTGGCTTTGATACTGGCATGCTCTGCTTCACCAGGGAAGGCAAGAGAGGGTTTCTTCTTTGCTTTGTCCTGTTTAGAACATCAAATCAGAGCTTTCTTTCAC